TAGCGATTTTTCTCGAACTTAAACTTCTCAACTTAACAATGTAGTGTTGAGTTGGTGAGTTAAATCTCGACTGCGAGCTGGTCACGGAGTATCCAATTTTAATCATAAATGTTTTTCAAAATTAAAACAATGGTTATTTCGACAGAACTTCCTTCACCCTAGAACTAAAGTCCAACAAATTCCGCCTATTTGAAAAGTTATAAAATTAGTTTTTGCGAAATTTTATTTGTGATAAGCCCCGCACATTAAAACATATATAGATGATAACAGTAACAGTGTAAAAGAAACAAAAACGACCATGAGAGAATCGAACGCAGGAAATTCGCGTTACCAGTCCGAAGTTACCGACTGTAAGCACTGCGCTATCCTTGTGCAAAATACTGTTACATAACTGCAATTTTTTGCGAAAATTTGGATGCCTCCAGGAAACCTTAAAGGCTGATCCATAAACCACAAATACAGGAGTATGTTATATCATGAAATTTAAGTCCCATTTGGTATGACAAATACCTCATCACATTGATTTTGGTTAGTGTTTTACTATCTACAGTATATTTCTAAAGTACATATACACACATATAAATAAAACGAACCAGACGAGACCGTAGGCGCTGTCCTTTATTATGTGAAAAATGTTCAAACAGGTAGATTTTTTATTCAAGGAGTACGTATACCGTTACTAGTTTCGTATGTTTGTATGGAGGTGAATGGATATCATTTTTAACATTTATTACGTTTACATTCTCAACGAGCAAGTCAAAAAAGGTGCTATTTTATTGATTTTCCATAATACTTTTTCTCAGTAACCAATCCACCGACATAGTGCCATTTAAGATTTTTGACTTGATAGCCACCCCTCTTTCCTGTCATGGGCCTGTTCGAGTATTTTTCACATAATCAAGTACAGCGCCTACGGTTCCGTCTATTTCGTTTTATTTGGGTCAGCCTGTATAATTTGACAACAATCGGTCTAGCAGTTTCGAAAATTATCTGTCTAATAAAAATCGACAGACAAGATAAAAACCATGGTGTCTAAGTATAGAGTTCATTTTAATGTTTCTATCCAGTTTCAAGGTATAAGTCACCCGAGTTTTATCTGAGACACCCTGTTTACTCAGATCTGAAAATGTTTGTCAACGACATTTTTACCAGTGGGCGAATCTACCGGGTGTAGAATCGTTTTTGGAACACGGGAATTTTACATGTAAAAACAAAAACTTAAAAAAATTGGCTCCACTTATTTTAGAGCAGAACATAAAATACAAAAATTGTATAGAATAAAAAACTCTATCTAAATCCTTTTTTATTTATTGTGTAACACCTTATGGTATTGAAATAAAAAGAAATAAAGAATTCGCGATTTGTGATAGAACTATTAAAATAGTCCTCGCCATAAAATATGATAATTTGACAGTTTATTAATTTGTCACTAATTACTTAATTTTAGACCTGACGGATAGACAGTACGGGAAATTTAAAGAACTACTGCAGCACTTTAGCCAAACCGGCAAATCAACAATCGCAAGAGTCCTAGAACAGTTTCAAACGCAAAGTTGTATTGTAAAGAAATTCTGCAGGTGGCACAGAATAAAATGAAACTTTGCTTCTGTCTGAGCATTTAATTTTACATGTATTGATTGTAGTTGCAGATAAAGCATGCTATAAAATTTTTGTTGAACCCAAAATCAGAATAATTAATTTAAAATAAACAGACAAAGTGTTAAAGTAATGAATTTTATCTACTATGTTTAAACCATCTTGTTATTTAGACACATATGTAATACGAACCTCCACAGTGCTGCTTCATCGGTAATGCGCCCGTTTCGGAGGCGAGAGATCGGGGGATCCCTCGGTCTGCAGCTTTTTATTTATTGACCAAATCAAGAAAGGGTCATCCTATTTTCCCGAAAATTTGAGAAATAACTCACTTGAAGCATATGCATAGCATGCTCCTTTACCTGTAGTTCAACAATCCGCACCTAGCTTTATTTTAACTATACTATGGGGTTACCATAAAAAAAATAATAAAATTCGCAAGATTAAACTGTATATTTTTTCGAAGCTAAATTTGCCTAACTGTACTTCAGGGGTGAGAGAAGTTTCATCTAAATAATCTTTGATCAATTTTTGTTTTGTCATTATGTTTCTGCCGTTCACAGAAATTTGCCACGGCCTCTCTTATTTCCTCTATTTCCACACTAAAATGTTTTAAAACCTTATCGACAACTTCCTGCTTTTTCTATTGTGGTCTCTAGAGTCTTCTAAAACCTTTTTCAACTATATTTGAAGACGATTTCTACTGCATTTTCTCGAACGTAATTTTTGAGTCCTTCATCGACATTTTTCACTTCCATACAAATGCCTTCTCGTCCTCCCATGTCATTTCCGATTTTTGAATATTTTGGGGTTTCGTCGAAATTCTGTATTCACATTTTATTAGTTGACGTTCTCTAATTTTAATAAATAAATTAAGTAAATATTTGTTTAAGTGGAAACTTCTAGAACTTTTTCCATACATTCTCAATAGTCAATTTCCTCTATTTTTGCTCTCACAATGAAATATATGTCTTCCTGTGTTTGCTCTCAAACTGAATTCCACCAGAATAAAAAGCTCATTTTCAAATGTTCTAGAACTCTATAAAGTTTTTTGGTTTGAACATTATTGTAATCGACTCCGTCGGCCGACCCTCTACTTTTACGTTTTCTCGACCTTTCATACTAGAGTACGAAGAAATAAGTCTCCCGTTTCTGTCTGTCTGTCGTCTGCCGTACCGATTTTTATTAGACAGATGAACTCCGAGAAGGTACTGGGCCGATAGTTGTCAAATTTTGTATTTATATTAGGAATATCATGTAGAAGGTAAAACGCTAACCAAAATTCGTCTAATCATTCCCACCAAGAATATGATGACGTCACTTCAAAATTGTAGGTACATAGTGAATGGGTTTTAAATTGTATGAAATAACATAATCCTACACATGTAGTTTATGATTTAGTATTGAGTTTTTACCCGAAATGTTCAGGTTTTTGGAAAAATAATCAAAATTGTAAACATTTTGCAATTTAATTTCGAATCGGCAAACCCGAATGCTTTGAAATATTGCAGATGTTTTAAAGTGATGATAAGCATGATAAAATTTTGATCACAATATATTTACTTATCCCCTCCAAAAAATTGATGACTTCAGCTCAAAATTTTGCCGAATAAATCCTATCTAAAATGTGCAAAATATTATCAGTCTATACTTGTAATTTATCATTACATTCGTTTTTGTAGATTTGCATATACAGGGTGTCTAAAAAAAATCAATTTATTTTATTGAATAAACCAAGAAATGGAAAACTGAATGGTCTGAAATCTTGCAGACGTTCCAAAGTCATTGTAACCATGGTAAATTGTTAATCAAAATAAATCTGTTTATTCCCCCCAAAAGATTGATGACGTCATTTCAAAATTTTGCCGCATAAAATGTGCCCAGAAAATGTGCAAAGTATGATGAGTTTTTACTTGTGATTCATCATTGCGTTCATATTTTTTATTGATCAAACTAAGAATGAGTCACCCCATTTTCCTGAAAATGTGAAAATACGAACCTCTTTATTTAATAAGAATTATAATAATAATATTCAGAACATTTTGTCGATTGTAGCTTAGTACTAGTTTTAGTTTTGATCGTCTGTTTTGAGAGGACGAACTCATTCAAATCAATCTAATTTCTACGTGACATTCTTCCTATATATAATATAATATAAACACTTTCAAGTTGTTTTTCTTATTGAGGATAACCTAAGGACGTACAGTATGGAGTCCATCGGGCAATTTGGTACTTTCATATTTTCCCGATATTTCATAACCCTAGACAGGCCGTAGTTAGGGGGAGGCTAGGGGATGTTGAGCCTCCCCTAGATATAGACAAGTTATAGTTAACCAAATGTGAATTACGACATCGAAAATCAAAATAAAATGTAGTGTTTTATTCAATAAGCGGAAGTCAGAGCAATAAAAAAGTCTGGACCGTCGGCATTGTAATTCGGTTATTGCAATTCGTAGAAAACATCTTTTAGTTCAGTTTCTGTTTCACTCTCACGTCTACAGGTTGATAAGTGTTATCGCTATTTGTCTTAACGAGTACCATAAATGATTTTCATTTCAGTCTTCAGTCGCACCTCTGTTATTACATACGACAGACGTGGTTAAATTGTTTCGTTATTTTATTGATTATAAATCACTGTTCAAGAATAACAATAATACAATACTTTTATTCTTAGTATTACAATGCATCTATCCAAACTATTTCAGACTGATTAGATGCGTCCTTGCAAAAATGTGGATGACATCAACACAAAATTTTGTAATAGAAAAACTCACTTGTAACAAACGATTAGCCCGTTTATTTACCTTTACTCAAATATTAGATACATATTTTTATTTTAGCTTATATAAAATTCGCAAAATCATTTCTTTTAATTTTTCGGAAGAGCTGGATTTGACAAGTACAATTTGTTCAGTTATCGAAATTTTTTTTGATATTGTGAAAATTCGATATAATTCCATATTGGTTTTAGACGCTATTATTGTACCACTGGATCGATTTATCGATACATTGCCCATCGTCTTGGTTAAAACGGTACGCTGACATCAAGTGCCGGTTTACGATTTGCAGACTGTAGTCATTAATGGTTATTGATTATAAATGACATTATTCTCTGAAACTGTACAGCTGATGTACAAAAATCGCCACTAATTGTATACTGCCCTCAAAATAACCATACTTGCAGATGTTAAATAATTTTAGACGGTGGTACTACAGGTTCTATATTTATATTTTTATGGCTTAGAGAATGCCTCTGTTAAAAAGAACAACATTATTAGTAATGTTTGCAAACCTACTTTTCTACTGTAATTTTCTATTAGAAAAAAACAAAGTTTTTTGGGTTTTCTTTTGCTATCTAATTTAACTGTCTTTCCTCTTTCTCATCTTTTACTAACAATTTTCAGATATAGTGACGACGAGACTTTGGAAGAATGTGATGACTACTACATAGAAACCACGTCTCCCGCAAGGGACACCCCCGACTCCTTAATAACCCAAATCAGGACCGGCCTCTCCCAATCCGACAGCAGTTTGACAGGCGAGCACCCCAGCTACTGCTACACAAATCAGCAGTGCTACGACAACGGTAGCTACGGCTACCCCATCTACAACGGCTACATCAACGACGAACCTCCTCAAAGACTAAAAGAAGACAACAACAAGCCGAAAATCACCGCTGCCGTGTACAAGACCCACTCTCGGACCATCGAGGAGCCCGACGAAGACGAGGTGCAAGAAGAGCAGATGCGACTAGGAAACTCTCTCCATATCTTAGACAAGAAACCAAACGACATATCGCTGAGCCGTAGGACGGAAGCGGATGTTAGGTCTGCGGAGTACGCAAATAAAGGGTTCGATTAAGTTGCGAAGAGGCTGATTTTCGTTTGTCATCGGTTTATTTTGGGAGAAATGAGCCCGCGCGATGACCCCGAGGTCTTTAAACTTCAATAAAAGGATGAACAGGTTTTCGTCTTCCAAATATTCCAACTAACGCCCTTAAACAAAATAAATAAGTGGGATTCGTTCGGCCGCATTAACTGCATTTTTTCGCGACTGCAATTATATTCTTGCAAAACCGCAGATCGTTTCGGGCCGTATTTTGCTCAGTTGCACCATCTCAAAAACGACGACCTCTTGTGATAATAACGGATGTTGAAGAATGAAGTGCCCATGTAATTGTAGGCTGCGCTGATTTAAGGACCAAGTGGCATCATCCTTGTAGATTTCATCCTCAAAATCTAGATGTCAAAAGCTTTCGATGTACGATTACAACGATAGAGTGAGAAGTTGTTATTCTTCTTATTATAGATTCATTTGCTTCACGTCGGTGAATTGAAAGCCTTTAATGTTGTACTACTGTATATAGGTATTTAAAGAACGTAGTTTGTAGAATTTTTTCTATGCACCTCAGCTAAAAATCGCACTTGACATTATTAAAGATAACTTTAAACAACCAATTTAGTTCGTATGGAAATTGTTGTATTTTTTTATTACTGTATACATTGTAAATAGTTTATTGATTACCGTCCGATTTGTGTGACGAGAAGTGAAGAATTGCATTAGCACAGGTTGCTGCACCTCTTCATGGCTCAAAAAATTGTACATAATTCTTGTTATCATTTTATGCATCTGTGGATCTTTTGTAAGTTTCAAGTGATCCTCTTAATTACGTTTATGTAGCAGGTGGAGCGGTGAAAACGTCACAGGGTTAATTACGTAGATCAACAGTGGAATTCAGGCAGACAGCGCAAAAAATGTTAAAATTCATTTAAGATTCACCACGATTAACGAAAAACACTCACGATATTATAGACTTGCTAGTTATCTTATTAAAAAGTTATAATCTTTACAACAATGTTAAATGGAAGGACCAATTGAAATTTTAAGAATTTTTGATACCAGTTCATATTCTATGTATTTTTATAAAATGAAGCCGTTTTATGCTAAAACTTTAGAATATTTTTAGGCCAGTCTTGCACTTTCACGCTAAAAAGTATTCGAATTTCATAAACGGCTTTTATTGCAATATTTATCTTCTCCGAATATTGGTCGCATATTATGGGAAAGGAATTTAAAAACACGATTATAACTTAAACAGAAAGAGTAAGTAATGACAGAAAACTACATAAAAGGATACATTTTTTGACCACACTTTTCATATTTTTTAACCGTATTTGTGCTTACTGTACAATTGTATTAAAGTGAAATAACCATCGTAAGAAGAAGAAGATTGTTTAAATCAAAAATTTTAATTCGGGTATCGGTAACAAAAGTGCTATATTAGGCCTACAAACAAAATGAAATTAATTATAATTTTTTAGTAATCAGTGGGCATAAAAATTGCTTTTATATATGCTTGCACAGTATTGTTAATCAACTTTAAATAATGTTTGCTTGCCTTGGATACAATTGACCGAATAGTCGTTAATAAATTATTTAGGTCGGTAAAAGTAAATATAAAAACTTTATAAAACATCATAAAATACATTTTTGCTTTTTTATTTTTTTAGAAACGATGATTAAATCTATATGTGTGTGCCTTTTTTTAAAATAAATATAGTTATAAATAGTTTTATTGTAACTGAAAACTTCAGAATTCGATATATTTAGTCTTGTGTTTTATTAAATAAATAGTAAATATCTTTCAAATTTTAGTAGCGACTTATTCTTATAAATAAAAAGTCATACCAAGAGAAGTTAGTTTTAGATGAAACAGCCTGTATATGGTTATGAAAACATTAAGATTCTAATTAAAGTATATTCACATTTTTTTTATTGGAGGCGTTAAAATCAAAATTCATGACGACATATCGTTAATGTTATTGTTAAATTAATTGATGAAGAGTACATAACAGTAACGTTAAATTGTTTATACAGGGTGATCAGTATACAATGTTAAAACTAAGTATCATTTTATTCAAATTTGTAAACCTCTCGAGGGTGGGTCAGTTTAAGTTTCGCCGGAAATGCTTCCAACTTTTTTTCTTAAATTGAGCATTTCATATACAGGCTAATTCAAAAATGTCTCACCAACTCAACGGTTCTTAAGTCGAAGTTCCAGAAAAATCATTAAAAATTCCTTAGTTGGATTAAAAAAGGTGACTGTTGTCAGATTAATTCTGAACAATGTTTAAGTTTTTTGTAATGTTATAAAATAAATACAATTATGGATAAAAACATGATGCTTCCAAAATTATTTTGAATAATGAAAGTCTGATCGATTTTAGATAGGCATCATTAAGTAATGAATGAAAGTATGATCAAAATATACCTAAAAAAAAAATTAAACTTAGATGGACTATGGCTTCTATATTTAGACTCAAGGATTTTTTAAATTATTTTTTCTTTGCTCAATAAACAGTCCTTAAAACAACGTGTCATAGAATTGGTGGGCTACTTTTTAATCGCCCTATATTTTGAAAAGTTTGAATTTTATTCCTGGCTTTTTTTTCTTAATTTATAAAAAAATATATTTTAGTAAAAAAAATCGTGTTCCAAAAAGTTTCTGATTCTTATAATAATTATAAAGTACACAATGAAAGGATTAACGAAATTATTCACCAACATGCGTAAATTAATGTAGGTTTTATTTTATTTCCATAACTGGATGTTGTTGCATTTCAAAATACTTAGATATAAAACAGCCGATTTCAAAGAACTAAATTATTTTTAGAAATTTTAAAATGATAATTGGACATTCAACAAAAATTTATCCATAGAAACATTTTAAAGTCATCAAAATTACCCCTTGTTGAGCATCTTTTTTTGTTTTATTTATTGTCACTATTTTAAGAAATTTAAAATTATAAATTTTAAGATAAAATTGATATCAACAATGAAAATGGAATTCAAGGCCACAGGGACAAAACAAGGAATGCCAACCCAAAAAGTAAAAATGACATAACGGTGGCAACACTTACATTTTTCTTGCATATTTTTATCTAAAGAAAAAGTAGTGGTTGCTCAAAAATATTGATGTGTTGGGTGAAGTACAGGTTTAGGACTCCTATAATATTGTTTCATTATTAGAATGTTTAGAATTATTAGAACCAGAATTTGTACTTCGCAAAAATATTAACATCGGTCAAGACTTAAACTGTTGACTCTATAAACTTCTGTTTTGTACCTCTGTACCTCTCAATTACATCAGTTGTTACACTGATATACAGGGTGATTAAAAAATGTCACACTAACTCATGACTCATGACACGTTATTCAAGACTGTTTATTGAACAACGAAAAAATAATCTAAAAAATCGTTGAGACCAAATGTAGAAGACAAAGTAACTTTTGTTTTAATATTCGACCATATTTTAATTCACCACTTAGTCTTGGCTCGGCTTTCACTATTCAAATCACCCACAGTTTTCTTCATTTTATAATATTACAAAAATTTAAAAATGATTTGATTTGATTTGATTTGATTTAGTGCGATATTTTCGAATCAACCTGTATATTTTTGGTTTAGTTAATATTGATCTGGTTTTATCCAATTGTAGGGTCGCAATTCAAAAGTAAACGACGACGTCATAACAACGTATTTTTGATTTACTTGTCCAAATGTGAAAAATTGATTTGAGCAACTTTAGTTACATTATGACAAAATTGTCAAGGGCGAGAAAAAAGTCATTTAACAATATCTTATGAAGACTTATTTTATAATTAGTCAAAAAGATCCATTTGTAAGTTTTTGAGATTCTTTAAACATAATTTTTGGTCTCGTTTTTTGTTCATGTCATCAATAGGGATAAGTGTGGAAAGTTAGAAGATATTATGTACGTTAATAAAAATATGAATAGGTTTTCAAATTAGCTAATACGGTGATAATTTGTCTAAAGCTTTGTAAAATACTAAAGGAATGTATATAATCTGCATGAAACTCGATTGTTCGATATCATGAACATAATTAAGAAATAAGGAACATATTAACCTTCTAACAGTGCCAACTGTACTCACGTATAATAATAGTAATATAGTAATAATAATGATAATAATACATTTTTTCCGCTGCTTTAATCATATGTATTATTTTGGAGCTTTACTAATTGAACCCAAGTTTGACATATTTTTAATAATAATAATGGTAATAATAATAAGAAAGTTGAACTACTATATTCCGCGAGTAAATAAAATCTCTTTAACCAGGTGTAACAGAAAAAATTAAAAAAAATACTTTGATGATGAAATAACACTTATTACACTTTAGTTAGCCAGGAAATTTCTTAATTTCTATTGGGTGTTATTAAATAAGAATCAGTAATTCCGACAGATGTACGAATGACTTGCGACTTTCGCAATACGAGTATTGGAAAAATTATAACGATAATGTATTGTGTACTACAAAGTTGCATACAAGGTTCCACTTAGTTGGCATTGAGATTACGGAGCTCAAAATTAATATAGAAAAATATGTTTCAGTATTTCAAGGCATTTTAGTTAGGTTTGTCGTGATTGTTATTGTTGCTTGTTTACATTCCTGAATAAATCGATTTTATTTAGGTTGTTTGAAATTGCATTATCGGGTTTTCAATTTTTTTAACGTAACAGTTATTTCAATATTATTAATGGAGAAAAAACAAATGGATACAAATTGTGTAAAATAGATTACATTTTTTTTTTGTTACAAAAGTGTAAATACTTTTTAAAGATGTTTTTTTTTATATATAAAAAAATATGTGGCCACGTCGTTAAGAAACCATGAAAGTTAGACACTTATGTTGAGGTTTTAAGGACATTTGGAAAACTCATACCACACTGGCTTTAACCACATGTACCTTTTGTTTTTTTCGGAGGATCATTACAGCAATCATGCCTACAAGAAATTTTACGACTGGTTATTAATCCGTATTTCGCAACTGAGGAAGAAACTCCACCTGCTACAAAAATGCGTTTTTAACAACTTGCGATTATTGTTACTATGGTTTCCCCAAAATTTAGCAGTTTAGGGGCGAGTTTATAAGGGATCAAGCGACTAGTCGTACAAAAATTCGTTTAACTGAATCGTTCTATTGAAAAATATCAGCAAATTTTCCATTCGTTCAGTTGTTAGTGTAAAGTAAATGTTCATACAATTCGGAAAAGAGAATTTTATATCGTTCGTTTTGGAGTTGTTTGTATGGGAAGGGTGGTTAAGCAGGACCGCAGGGGAGGGCCTGCGGCCTTGGTTAATCAGCGCCTACTCGGTTCCTTCTATTATTGACAATTATAGGTTAGGTCCTCTTGTGAGCATTCGAGGCAAATAAAACCGTGAGAGAAGGGTGTTGTCGTTACTTATTTCAGCGAAAAGAAATCCATCACGTCGCGTCTAAAAGTGGGTCACCACCCGGCCAATAATTTCCAAATTTAATTGCCGCTGCTGCAGAAAACGAAGAACAAACCGCCAAATCATTCGCTTGCTCGTGGTACGAAGTACGAACTTTCCCCGCAATAAAGAATGGTGCACGAATGCATTTTGACACCGAAAAAAGACAAAAAAGCGCCGGAGGGGGGCAGACAGACGGCCTTAATGGAATCCGGACTTAAGGTCGCGTTTGCGGCGCTGATTATTACGTGACACATTTATAGAACTTTCGAATGTTGGAAGACGTAGGCGCTGCACTAGAGGAAAAGGGTCCGGCCCGGGGGGTGGGGTGGGGGCAGGGAGGGTCAAGATGAAGGCAAAATGTAAGCTGATTGCAGGTTTCAGGCACTTGTATGCATCATTCTTCGCAACTACCGTTATCCTTCACAAAAGCTCCGAGTTGCTTTTTTGTGGTTTTTGTCCGACTTGCATAATGAAGAGGATTCCATCAACTTCAGCTTACGGTCCATCGAGTTTGGAAGGGTTACAAAACTTGGAGAAACCACAGACGGCGGATAAACAATCATAACGAATTTGTTTGAGCTTTCTACGGGCAAATATTGCGAAAATGAGTAAATAAATAAATTTACACGCGAATTAGCTTTAATGACCGCCTGCTTTTTCGTCTGACCTTTGGGCTCAGTGTCAATAATAATTATTGTGTGAACAATGTTGCAATTGAAAAAATGTATGGACACTTAAAACACACGAATTATCCAGACGTAGGGATTTTTAGAACAAGGTCGACATTCTTTGTTTTCAATGAAAACGGCAAAATTTGTTAGCATAATTAAATACTTCGTGACAACTCATTATGTGGAACCCGCACAGAATACGGATTTTGGCGTTTTAAATACCTAAACTTATCTAATATTAATGTAAGCTGAAATTGCAACTTAGCATTCGATGTGGCATTCCAGATACAGTAACTAACGTTTACTTAGTACACTGGGATCAAGAACCGCTGCAATAGAGTCATACCTGACTGTTAAATCGTGTACCTAATTTTGATTTCAAACGTTACTTCAAAATCCGATTTCAAAAATTTGCCTTTTCTTCTGTCTTTTATATTAATAAAAATCTTAACAGTAAAATGCCTTTTTAATTGTCAAATCTAATTAAGTTGTAATTTAGGATATCTACATTTTTTATCGTTGTCCAAAGTACCTAATCTTCTCTACCCCAACGTTCAGAAAATTTGGTTGAAAACCACCTGTCACTACAAAAAATCATTCGAGAAAAATAATAATTAGCCAGAATTTCTCGTTTCAAAAAAACGCGATCAAAGTAATGCATTACTTAAATTAAGGTGAGGTCTTAGAAATAACGGTGAGTAATTGTTGATTTTTTAATGGAAATTTAATCCATAATCGATAATTAATTACTAGCAGTCTTAAATACTAGCGATCTTAATTACTATTGCCTCCACTTCTTAATTACTACTTAGGACTCCCTTGAGTAACAACTTGAAATTTGATTCTTAGTAAGTTGTAATTAAGGCACATTTTTTATTTGACAAAAAGTTATGCTTCCATTAGAAAAAAAAATATTTTGACCTGTTGAATCTCAGAAACTCGTCAAGGTAAAAATTTGAAAGAATAGCAAATAATGAAATTTAAAATATATTTCCTATTCCCATTGTATATATCTGTCTTTTTCTCATTAGAATAAAGCTGTTTATTAACTTTTATTGACATGATTTAGTGAATTTAAGGTTTCACAGAAGTTCTTTGGTTAGGTTTTGAGAGAAATTAAAAAAATTAAAAATAAAATTTTGACTTTTTTCATCACTCTGTATGCGTACAGCTAAAAATAAGAGTAAGTAGAACCATATCATTCTGCACATTTCAAATAAAATATCCCAAGAGAATTTCGACAATTTTGGAATGTTGAATTATGGGGAGAGCAGTTTTTAAAAAACAAAGGTAAGTAGTTTTTGATTTTAAAGAATTTTGATCAGTCTTGTTAAGTCATTTCAGAAAAAAAAACAGTAAATAAAAGATCAACAAAATTGGAAGTCAGGACATCTGTTCGAGTGAACATTTTTTAAATAATTTTTTACAGAGGCGATATCTATAATTACTAGGTTATACTTGGTGTTTCATGAAGTTGTTAAAGATCCCGGGTAATTAATTAATTATAAAAGATCACTCACCGCCTGTCACAAATGTTAGTCATAACCTCACATTCCTAAAATTTTTCTATGTATTTCAGCCTAATGGGTAGGCAACTAATAAATCAGTTCTAATGATAGATCTATTAACTGTCTCAAGGAAACGGCAAATTTCCAAAACCAACTTGACACGATGTGTTATAATCACCTTGTATAATTTCTACAATTTTTATTTTTTACAATAATCCTTATATCTGAGGTTAAGATTATGGCTACAGTATTAAACTGCAGATAAAGAACATCGACAAAATTTTGAGATGACGTCATTAAATCTTTGGTGGAGATAAAGACGAGAAATTTTGGTAAGTATCCTACCAGATACGGGTGTCTTTTTTATTTTTGTTACAGCCCCTGTAACTTTTTTATTTTTGAAGACAGTTCTTTGGGGACAAATTTGTATCGTAATAGAATATCTATTTGATGGTAAATACATTCTTTAATTCTCCGGTAACACTGGAAATGACATCAACTTTATATTTTTAAATGGAATTTTAATGAATTTAATGAAATTGACTTTTTACCATAAAAAAACTAACCAATATTTCAAAATGAATAATAAAAAATTTGCTCAGTAAAATAGACGAAAAATTACTATTTCAACCATGTTTTCATTTCCATAGTTTCATTAAATGTAAATAAAACCAATTTTTACTTCCCGAGCGTAAGCGAAGGAAGTATTGTAATCGAGTCCGTCGGTGGACTCTCTACTTTTACGTTTTCTCGACCTTTCATGACCCCAAGAGTACCAAGAAATAGGTCTCCCGTTTCCGTCTCTCTGTCCACTGTCTGTCCGTCTGTCGGTCCATCTGTATGTCTGTCTGTCTGTCTGTCTGGCCGTCTGTCCGTCTGTCCGTCTGTCTACCGACCCAGAGTACTGGACCAATTGTTGTCAAATTTTGTAAATATTTATATTAGGAATATCATGTAGATGGTAAAACGCTAACCAAAATTTGTCTAATCATCCCCACCAATAATGTGATAACGTCACTTCAAAATTGTACATAGTAATAACGTCACTTCAAAATTGTACATAGTAAATGGGTTTTAAATTGTATAAAGTAACATAGTCTTACACATGTAGTTTATGACTCCGTGTTGAGTTTTTACGTGAAACGTCCAGATTAAAAAAAAAATCAAAATTATAACAACATTTTGCAATTTAATTTTGAATCTGCAAAACCGAATGCTTTGAAATCTTGCACATGTTTTGAAGTTATGATAAGCATGATAAATTTTTAATCAAAATATATTTACTTATCTTCCTCAAAAAATTGATGACGTCAGCTCAAAATTTTGCCGAATAAATCCTATCTAAAATGTAGAAAATATGATGATTTTGGTCAAAATGTATTTGCTCATCCCCCCTAAAAAATTGATCACGTCATCTCAAAATATTGCCGAATGTATCCTATCTTAAATGTGATTCATCACTGCATTAATATCTTTAGATTTGCTTATACAGGGTGTCTCAAAAAAATAATGACTGAGCCACTTTATTTTATTGATTAATTCAAGAATTGCAAAACTCAATACTTTAAAATTTTGCAGACGTTTCAAAGTTATTGTAAGCATGGCAGATTGTTAATCAAAATATATCTGTTTATTCCCCCCGTCGTCTCAAAATTTTGCCGAAGAAATTTTACTCAAAATGTGCAAAATGTGATGGGTTTTTACTTGTTATTTATCGTTGCATTTATTTATTTAATTTATTTAATTTAAATCAGGAACGGCTCACTCTATTTTCCCAGAAAATTTTGGAAATACAATACTGTTATTTTTCAATTTCCATTTCACACTAAATAAAGTAAGTCAGTGAAATGGAGACAGGAGATGGACTGGGCTAAATTTAACTTTCTTCTAGTTTTATGAGCAACCAGTAGCCCCGCCCACCCACCCCTTCATCGTTTCAATGACTACTCCAGTCCTAGCTTAACAAGTTTTAGCCCCGCCCACCCAGTATTTTTTTTTCCTAGAAGATGTGTCATTTACCAAAATCAATGTTATCTTAACAAGTACTAGCCCCGCCCACTCGCCCTCTATTTTCTTGCCGTTTACCACAATCAGTCGTATCTTAGCAAGTACTAGCCCCTCCCCCATATTTTATTCTTTTAATTTCTTAGAGGATATGTCATTTACCAAAATCAATCTTATCTTAGTAGATACTAGCCCCGCCCACATACGCTGTTCTCATTCTAACGATTTTATCTCTCTTCAATTGAGATCCACCTTTCATTCGGACTACACAAAGTGAATCACTGAAATGGAGACTGGGTGGGTGGGGGGGGGGGGGTGAATTATATGACGCATCGTTTTAACAAATCTTTGTCTCTCCATTCATGGAAATAAACATCATGTTTTATGAAACCCCAAAAGAAATATTCAATGGGGTTCAAATCAGGCGATCTTGGAGGTCATATTATTGGGCCTCTATTCTTTACCTAACGGTTTTGAAACATTTCTATTAAAAAATAGACACGTATCTCACGT